TTTAAAAATTACAATAGTAAATTGGTTTTTTTTATTACTTTTTTAAAAAAAACATTAGTTTTATATTTAAAATTAACGTTAAAGTTAATATGAAAATTAATAAGTAATTATATGGTTTTTCTTATTTTTATCTTAAAAAACAAATTTATAAAGTTTCATAATATTTAAATAATTTTATATTAATTTATTTTAATAAAATATGTGTTAAAAAAAATTCCTGTTTTTTTTGTTATACAATTTTTTATATTAGTAAATTTTTTATAAATTGCACGACATCCAACCAATCACAAGGGTTTAGTATTTCATTGACCAGATTCAAGATTTTCGTTTCTTAGTCGCGTCCTCAAAATCTCGATGGCTAACTCCTACAGTGACTCTCCGTCGTCCCAATACAATGAAGAATCGACAGGCATGTAAATCATACCTTAACACGCGATTTAAAATTTCAATGTTGAACTCATTTGAATTCCTAACTTGCATTGCAATAGAGGAGACAAAACAAGAGAGAGCCGCTATCGAAGAAAAAATTATAAATGAAGAATACAAGATTTGGAAGAAAAATTCACCATTTCTTTATGATTTAGTTATTACACACGCGCTTGTGTGGCCAACTTTGACGTGCCAATGGTTCAAGGATATCGAACGGTAAATTTATAGAAATTTTCACGTTTATATCTTCATTTCGCGTTTTTCTAGATATTTTATTTTTCTTGCTTTCTGAATTCAGGCCCGAGGGAAAGGATTATACCGTTCAGCGATTGTTAATCGGTACTCACACTTCAGACAATGATCAGAATTATGTCGAAATTGCCAATATTCAACTCCCAAAAAATGATACGAACATTGATCCCCGAAAATATGATGAAGAGAAAGGAGGTATAAAAAGAGCATCAACCGATTTTCTCAGATATTTTCAATAATAAAACATTTTGTTTAATCGGTTTATGTAGAAGTTGGAGGTTTCGGTGGCGCCTCCGAAAGTAGAATCAAAGTTGTTCAAAGAATCAATCATGACGGTGAAGTTAATCGAGCAAGATACATGCCTCAAAATCAGGACATTATCGCCACAAAGACGGTCGCGGGGGATGTTTACATATTTGATCGTACAAAGCATCCGTTGAAACCCGTCGCTGATGGTATTTGTCATCCAGAGTTAAAATTGAGAGGCCATACAAAAGAAGGGTAATTATAAATCACTTCCATTGTTTGGATAACAATCTTATAATAAATTTAAATTTGAACATATATCCACAAGGTATGGTTTATCTTGGAGCCCGTTTAAAGATGGTCATATATTAGATGCCTCAGAGGATACTACGATCTGTCATTGGTTAGTATAAGTTAATATTGCATTAACACACCTTTCGATAAAATAATTGATATGTCGTACTCTTAGGGATATTACTGGGTACACTAAGGAGACACGAACGATGGAGCCATTTCGTGTATATAGAGGACACGAGGCATTTGTTGAGGTAACATTTGTTATACCTTGTTATTTTTAAATTTAATATAAGTCACGATTTGAATAATTTTTTTAGGACGTAGCATGGCATACTCTTGAAAAACATATCTTTGCCTCTGTGGGAGATGACCAAAAACTTCTTATGTACAATCCTTCTTCGCATTTCTTGAATATTTTATGTTACTCCCTCATCATTCTGACACATGTCTATGTATATTAGCTGGGATACGCGGGCGGATAAAGCTGATAAACCTGCTCATTCTGTTATTGCGCATCAAAGCGAAGTAAATACAGTCTCGTGGAATCCAATGAATGAACATATATTGGTCACTGGTGCTGGTGATAAGGTGTGTAAATGTAGACATAGCTGAGTATATGTATTTCATAAGTCCATAAATTAAAATTATATTGTCTTCCTAGACTCTTAACTTGTGGGACCTTCGAAACCTCAAAATTAAACTTCACACATTAGTTCATCATCAGGGGGAAGTCTTGCAAGTCGAGTGGTCTCCCCATGATGAAACAATTCTAGCATCTGCCGGTGGAGATCGAAGGGTTAACATATGGGACTTAAGTCGGATTGGCTCGGAGCAAACTGCGGAAGATGCAGATGAAGGACCACCGGAGCTATTAGTAAGTTGTCTGTCTTATGGTTTCATTATATGAAATGCACACACTAAAATATTCACTATGTTAGTTTATGCATGGTGGACATACCAATAAAATTTCCGATTTCAGTTGGAATCCTCATATACCGTGGGTAATTGCTAGCACTGCCGAAGACAACATTATTCAAGTTTGGCAACCTGTAAGACCATTTCATCCAATTTTTTTTGACATCAGTCATATCCGAACTAGAAACATGTAATAACCTTAATAATGCATTATAGGCAGCAAATATTTACTCTATTGATGATAGAGAAGTTCCTCCTGAAGAATTGGAAGACTAGACTTCTCATATTACATCAGTGGGTTATTCTAAGCAGATAACAACCCAACATAATTATACCATAAAGAGATTAGAAAATTGGTTCGACAACCATAAGGCATTTCTAAGTCAGTAATTTTAAAATCGACTCGAAAATAAAATTCTTATCTATTTTATGTTTCATAATAGAATTCAGAAAGCGTACATGTACATATATTGAACTATAACCGGATGAGTAAATTGGTTTTTTCAGAGACGGTTGAATGTATTCGCGTGCTTTGCAGTTGTTTTTATTGAGAAAGTTTTCATGGAGATTTCGAGTACTTTATCGAATTTATATTACATGCATCAGTCAAAATCATGAGAAAACTGAAAAATATTGAAATGAGCCAAAGAAACACTTCACATAGGGATTCTGGTGAAACCTTTTCGATAGATGAATAGAGAATCTGTTGCGCATTGGGAATATCGTGTAATACCGGTGGGTTTTGATGAATTATTTTGCAAATACATTCATAATTTTATTTTTTTGCATAATATAAAGCTCCTTAACAAATAACGTATTCGATGATCAGTAGTAAAATGTTATAAATAAATCGCTTCGTATAAATGTATTGCATTTATCACTTTGATTAAATAAATGTGTTATTATCATGTATATCAATAACGTCTACAGATGATGGTTTAAATGTACGATTGATTTTTAAATGCATAATTTAAATGAATGTAAGTGTAACTAACGCGTTTATTGGCGATCATTACGTCATGTTGGTTATTATAAATTCAGGATTTTTATTCTTATTTCAACACAAATATGGAAATCGATGAAAACGAACAGTTAACTTCGGGTTCAAATTTATCAGACAATGGAAGCGATTCCGATCAAACGGATGAACATGAGAACCTTCAGGCTGAACTTTCAGAAACAATATCTTCGTTGCTTGAGCAGGTAGTATATTCAGGCACCATACACCACACGTGAAGTTACCAAAAAGCATTTCCAAGTTGTATAATTGGCTTCTTTCTTACTTAGCTTACCGACAATGTTTATCAATACTCGGTACACGTCCAATACATTCAAGCTCTCCGTCGGGCAGCACTTTTTGAGGAATTGAGAGGTGCTCGGGAAATGATGCACCGAATTTTTCCTTTATCAGAAGGTAATTCACAACTTTTGATAACTAATCTAAGAACAGGATCTAATTTATCATATTGACGCGATTAGAGATGTGGCTTGAATGGATTGAGGATGAATCGCGACTGGCGGTTACCAAAGAGGAAAAACAGAGCGTGATTAATCTTTATTCGGAGGCGGTCAAAGATTATTTATGTATGCTTAATCTTTTCATTATTTGAATGCACATCGACCATGGCCAAGATCTCTTAACCCTTCATGCCCATGCTTTGTCATAACCATAATAGCAATTAATATATGGTCCTTTTATACAAATTATGTACTGAATGAGTACAATGATTCGCATTGTCAGATGGAGGGTATGGACAACGATTCTGTATTTATTACATTAGAACATGTTCGTAAAGTGTTCAAGGAAGCATGCGAGGAAACTGGATATTTTGTTCCAGAGGTACGCACCTATGGATTCGATCAAATACCTATAATAAAGACTCAAACCATTATCTTTTAGAGTCATAAAATTTGGGATCCCTACAGAGATTTTGAGGAAAAAATTCTGGAGGTAGCGTATCTAAAAAATTACATTCGTTTTCAATTCATAATATTATAAGCTATAATAAGTGTACAATCATTCCAATAGTTATCACCAAGGTATATTGTTTATGGTTTTATGACGTCGAATAAATTTTCTGAGTTAGACAAAATGTATTCTTAGCGACGAACAGAAGAATAGAGTTAAGGAAATGTATTTGGATCGTCTCAAAATACCTCATTCAAGTATGTTGAAGTCGTTTTACCTTTTTTTAATCCATTCATGGACTAAATAGGCCTTCACATATGCAATTATTGTTATGTAGCCTTTGAAAAGACATTCGCAGATTATTCATCGTTCATCACCAAATATGATAACAGTAATTATGAAAGATGCATGATCGAGGCTAATGCTTTTTTTAGCGAAACAAAAATCAAATATTATGAAATGGACAGATATGAACAAGAATTAGTAAGTGCTTGCTTTTCCATTGAATAACATAATTATTCCGGCTTCTCAATCATTTTTATTATCCTGCATAACAGAACACATCCAGTTTCGCTTTAGAGAAATTCATCAAGTATATCGATAATGAAATAAAACAGCCTAACCCACTTTTACCAGCGATCCGTACCTTATATGAAAGGGCAATCACGCTCTATTATTTGGACCCATCTCTTTGGGAAAGATATATTTTTTTTCTTATTGAGAAAAAGATTTCTTATGATGACCTTCTTAAAATTTGTGAACGCAGTGTGCGTAATTGTCCATGGTCTGGTGATTTGTGGAGTCATTATATGCGTACAATGGAGAGAGGGACCGTTCCAAATTCATACGATGAGATAAAAAACATATATCAAAGGGCTCTGTCGACCGGGATGCTTAATAATAATGTAGACGATTTGGTCAAAGTGATTATAGCAAACTGTGATCTCGAGAGGAGAACGATAAGTAACGAAGGACCTACCAATTTAACCAATTCGGATGCTCTCAAAAGTATTATTGCAGAAGGGCTTCAGACAGTCAAGAAAGGTAAAGCGTTTATGATTGTTCGCTGTAATATTGAAAAAAAAAATTATTTTTCGAGTGTTAATTTTAATTCATTTTAGCTTTTAAAAACGGGGATCCTCTATGTCGTTTAGAAAAATACTTGATAGAAATTGAGGTAGATCACCCAAACGATATACAATCTATGACAGTGATAAATTGGCATTAAAATTATTCCTACTTTCCACCATTTTACAGACAATAACTGGAAACGTGAATAAAGCGAGGGAGGTTTGGGAACGGGTCATTAAACGGCACCACAAAGAATCAGAGGTGTGGCTTCGTTACGCTGATTGGGAAAGGTTTGTGTTATTTGGATCGGTACAAATGTTTCGTCGCCGTTTAAAAAGAACGCTTTTTTTGTGCATCATTGATGCCACTTAGATCCCTGGGAAATATAGATGAAGCTCGCAAAAAGTACAGGAAGGCATCCCAGCAGGATACGGATTGGCCAGAACAAATATTTAACGCATGGGAACAATTTGAACATCATTATGGGACATTAGAAGGTTTGGAACTTGCATACATTTTCATAGGAAAGCAAATGGAGTATGTGAAAAAGAAACGTGCCAAGGTTGATGAAAGTTCTATTATCATCTTTTTTCTTTCGACGACCGTATTCACTGTTTCTTGTGTATATTAAGGCTCTGGAAGAGGCTCAAAAGGTTCAGTATGAACAATTTCAGGCAGAGCAGACTGCTTCTGTTGCCGAAGACCCCAATCTCGCGAGCGAACAAAACCTTTTGGCAACGGATTCACGAAGTGATGTCAAAAAAAGAAAATACGAGGAAGACGATGAGCAGATAGAGGGATCGCCCTTTGAGAAAAGAAATAAATGTATGTCATAACATTCAATGAGTTTCATTTCACTCGCTATACTTCGAAAATACCAAAGTCATAAACACTACCCCTTCTATAACTTTAGCGACTCACGCTGACCGAAACAAACGGTTGATTTTATTATTCTATTTATTTTATTAAGAAAACGTAATTTTTATGCTATATTTAAATTTAATTTGAATACTCGAATTTTATTTCAGCGATCGGGAATTTTCTACAATCGTCGTGAGGAATTTGCCTTTGGATACTACAAAAGGCCAATTGAAAGCACTGTTCCATGAAGTATGCTAACGCTTATTACGTGTTTAATTTTTTCTAATGTTTGTTGGTGCGTACGTGTGCCCTTATGACAATTATATTTATATGTAGTGCGGGAAGATTGTAGAAATCCGTCTAATAGAAGACCCCGAGAAAACTCACAAATATGCATACATTGAATTTGCTCAAAGGGTAACTGTGGTAAACTGAAATCATAATTCACTACTATCGTGATATTGAGTTTTTTCTTCTACATGGTAGGAAGACGTTCCCGTCGCATTGACTAAAGACAAAAAGAAGGTCGGCGAAAATGAAATTGACGTTTATAGAGTATTTCAACATGTCTTGTACGTCACCAATTTCACCGAGTCGACAAATTTGAACGAACTATTTAAGAAGGTGAATTGAAAACTTTGATGACCATTTAGCGATCAACTGGTTAGCTTGACTTTTTTCCTAATCAAACGTTTATCTAGTACGGAGAAATAATTGAGGTTCGAGTTCCGAGCAAAACTTGGCGTGCAGGAAGATTTTGTTATATCGAGTATAAGAATAGGGTATGTATTTCTAGACCATGTAAATTACGTCTTCATTATCACCGTGTCTTTTACTTTACAATACCATTGAAACTTATAGGAATCGGCACAAGCTGCCGTATCAGAAATGAATGGCTACGAAATTGAACCAGGAAGGAAGTTGAATGTTATGATTTCAAATCCCTCGTTGAAGAAAACACGTTCGCCACCAATGTGAGAATAGGATCATCAATTAATGACAATAATCACGTTATCCTGAAGCCTAATTAATTTGATTTTGATGTTTTGTAGGCAAAAAGAAGTTTTTGTTCGCAACCTTCCGAGTCGTGTTGAAGTCAGCGAATTGGAGGCATTCTTTAACGCGGTAAAGTATTCTAAAGTTTGTTAAAATAAAGTAAAACTTGATAATTTCGCTGATCGTTTTTGTAAAACCTTATATAGTGCGGTAAGGTTGTTAAGGTTAGGATTCCCAAGACGAAGGATAATAGATGTAAGGGAATAGCATTTGTGGAATTTGACACGGAGGTGCGTCGTAAATTTTATTACAAAGAATATTCAACTAGATTGTTATTGACACCCGATTCATCCAGGAACATGCGAAAGCCGCGATTGCGCTGAACTCAACAGAATTTAAAGGATGCATATTGAATGTTTCGTTGAGCGACGTAAGTCGCAACGACGGGCAAAAGCGTCAACCTGAATCTGAGTCTAGTGTCAATGCAACAAAAAAGAACACCGAACGGATCAATTCTGTGATAATTAGTCAATTACCACCAAATGCCACGAAGAAAATGATACATGGAATGATATTGACAAAATTTCAGGTAACTCGCGTCACTGAATAAACTGATTAAACATAATTTCGCTATTCTCTTTGTTTTCTTCACAATTTTTTTGTGCTTTCATTACTAGGAGGATGCAATCCAAGATATTACTTTGATGTCTCTAGAAAATCGCGCCATTGTAAAATTTGTGCGCGTCGAGGTAATCATTACAGAAAAATTTACTAAATTTAAATTGTTTCAACTTCTATCGATTCAAGCTAAACATCCACGACTGTTTCCACTTAGGATGCCGGAAAAGCGATCTTGTTATTTAACAAATACAATTTAAATGACAGAACCATCAATGTTACTGCCGAAGAGGAAATGACTCGTGTTGTACAAGAGTAAGTTCATTTCGTCATTATCATATTATGGTTTTACTATTCTGAACTTTCCAATGTTTAGGGGCGCCGACCCGTTAAGCATGGTACCTAGGAAGATACATAAACCTTCGACAAATAAGAAAGTCAAACTTGAACAGAAAAAGAGGGTCAAACTTGAACAGAAACCTCAGGCTTCCAACAAAAATTTTGATGACCATAAGAATACAGGTGAAGGCAAAAAATCTAATGCATATTTTAGAACCATGTTTTTAAAAGGCAAAGGAAATGCCGAATGATAGAATTACATTAGTATGATTACTTTGTAATAATTTTATTTGTAAAATCAAACTTTGTACGTAAATTTTTTTGTGGAATAAAGGTGATCTTTTAATTGAGCAGCATCATGTAATAAGCAGTGTTTCAAAATAATTTGAAAAAAGTAATTAATTTTTTTATAACTGATATACTGTATAACTCATTTATTATATGGATATCATGAGTCATGATATTTAAAAAATATATTATTTAATTTACATCCTAGGTTTTAAATAAAGCAATACTAAAAAATCTATTGTATAACTTGTTACTTTATATTGGTTTTCAGTATTTTCAATAGATTTGATAGAAAGGTTTTAGATTATCTAACAAGAAATTTTACAATCTCTTATATTTTGAGTTTTTAATACAAACTTTTTAAAATTTATTTATTTATGTCAAAAGTATTATAAATTTATTTAAAAAAATTTAATATTTTCAAATATACAATAGAATTTATATGTTGTCTAATCTCTAAATTTTATATTTGATGTTAAAGTCTTGAAACTTTTGTATAAGATATCTTTGAATAAGTAATAGTTTCTGTAAAATTTTTAAAATTTTTTAATTATTACAATAAAAATTAACATATGGATCAAAATTGAAAAAGAGTTTTTTTATAAATTTTTTTTAAAGCTAAAAAGTTAAACTTTGAGATTTTTTTTTCAACAATTGTTTTATAAAAATATGTCAAATTTTTATCACTAATATAAAAAGATCCAAACTTTATCATATAATTTTTTAAAAAATTTTGTTTTTATTAATTCTTAAATTATTTTAATTTTTATTTATTTATTTTTTTAATAGTAGAATAGCATTATATGCAGGTTTTTATTGTATATATATTTACAACTTATATTATATCAAGTATTCTTTATAATACTATAACTATAGTTAAATATTAGCCTAACTACTTTTATGCCTGGTGATATGCTATTTACTCTTGAGGTATGTCATATTGTTTCAGAGGACCTATTTAAAAGGTAAAAATCTTACTGTTAGTTTTAAACCATCCAATCTACTAGTCCAATTTTATGCAAGAACAAAAAACTACCAACTATTTCTATAAGTTTACCTATTATATTTATATAACTAATTTGATAGAAAGGCCTTTATATAATATATGCATATATATATATATAATAAGCTATTAGGAAGCCATAATACACAAGACATTAGTATCAATTCAGTGCTTGCTTCAAGGTTCTCTTATTTAGTAGCTAGTAGGAGATAAGAGACAGTTGATTGAAATTAATTAGAATGAAGTATAGTCCAATCTGTATATTCAAATATATAGAAAGTTTTGATTAGAAAATTAAATAAGTACTTTAATTTCACTTGATTCAATTATCATGCAACAGCTTCTGGTAATCATCATGGTACCAACTGAATGATTATTATACCATGATATTTTTTTTGAAGGTCACAATCTCAATGCCTATTGGATTAGCATATGAATCGACTTCATATGAGAAATAGCATATAACAAGTTATAGTATCAGATATTATATTAATATTATTTAATTGCCTTCATCTGAATTTGAACTGGTATCTTGTAATTTGACCTATGAAGCACTAATCACTGTGCTATAGATCCACAAGTCTTTATTTTAACTTTTATTAAATTTTTGACTTAAAAAAAATCTATAAAAAATTTTTCTTTCAATTTAGACCCATATATTAATTTTTATTTTAAAAATTTTACAGAAGCTATTATTTATTTAAAAATTTTGATTTTAACGACTGGCGTACACCATGTTTTATTAAAAAGAATTTACAGTACATGTATATTCCCTTTATGGGAACTGACTACTACCTATCTACATCTGATGAAACTACCTAGGGAAAGCTTTTATGACTTACCCACCGGTTGGCTTATTGCCTTCCATTCTTCCTATATTATCAATACCGGGGCTAAGGATCCAAACGATTCTATTTAGAATCGAATTTAAACGATTCAATTCGATTCAATTCGATTCGATTCTTTTATTTAAAAAATTGAATAAAATTTTAATTCGATTCGATTCGATTCGATTCTATTCAATTT